TTCTGTGTTGAATGTCCCCTTTAGTTCCAAGCTTAAGAGGGGAAGAGGGCTGTTATGAGCCCCTCTGCCCAATCCCAGCACACTATGTATCTGCAAGAACTTTAGAAGATCACGAGTCTGCTGGCATGGGGGCTGCCTTCTATACACCTGTGCTGTTTCAGATCCCTATTTCCATAACAGGCTCCTATTTCCACCAAAACTAGCAGATGTAGTGGGTATGTGGTTGGGCTCTGACGTAGCATTGCATAGGTTTGCATTGTTACAGGGCAGGTTTCAGTTTTCTTATCTGTGAAGTGGGAATTTTAAAAGTACCTCCCCCATACAGTGTTTGTGAGCGTTACTGTGTGATAATGCATCTGCAGTGCTAGGCACATGGCTGACAGAATAACGGATTAACCATTATTGTTGCTATCATTACTGTCTCAGCACACAATGGCTTTAAAGCTGCATAAATACAGTTGTTAAAAGAATGGAGTCTCCCACATCCAGAAGATTCTAGAACATTTTGGGGAGGAGGAGCTATCCGTGATCTTTTGATTGATGGTGGTGATGAGGAGTAAGGCAAAGGAAAGACGGAATGTTTGCATTGTGTGAGAAAACACTGAGAGAAATATCCATGTGTGTGGGTTGTGTAGGGTGGGAACTTGTGTAGGAAAGTTTAAAAATAGTATGTACTGGTATTGGATATGTGTGTTTGTCATGAACCATCAAAGGAGCAAAAAGGAAACAAAAACTGTGTTTTACCAGAATAATGCTCATATGTATAATTATTCTTTATATTTTACATATTTGTGCAAAATATCACACATGTGATATCAGATTCACTTTGCTGTGAACATTATTTAACAGCCACTTCTATAAATGCAGTTTTTAATCAACTATGTCTCCTGTAGCTTAGCATGATGAGTACACCATCTAAACAAGTATTTATCAAGTGCTTATTACAGGAGATACTGTTAATGTCCTGGGTCCCTGGACCCTTTTCATCATCTCTGTGCTCTCCCCACCTGGCTTCAGTGTGCCTTTGCTTTACTTGGCCAGCACCTGTAGCTCTTCAGAGGACTGCCCTCAGGCTACTGGAACTGCCTTGCCTTTTGGTGCAGAGAACAGGAAGCTCCGATATTCCACCATTGCCCTCAGGAGCCCTCAACCAACAATTGGCATGGAGTTATGAAAGCTCAGCACCTTTGCCCTGGGTAGGGAAAATTTTGAGGCATAATTTATACTCCAGAGTTTCTGAAGCTTGCTCCATGGCCCAATACCTAAAATTGCAGCCCTGCTTCCATCGCCCCCTCCCCGCCCTGCTCCCTGACTCCCTTACTCTTTGATAAATGTTTTGCAGCTGACTCCTTATGGTTAGGTCTGTTCCTGGGGAAACTGAATTGAAACCACTGAATATATGTCAGATTCTGTCCTAAAACTGGTGTAAACAACTCATTTAATGCTCAGGACACTGGAAGGTGGTTATGATTCCCCTTATTTCATGGAGAAGGAAATTGACTTGAGTAAACGAGAAGCATCATGTACTTAATCAGAGGTTGTTAGAGTTTCATTGCTTTGCCTGCTTTCCTGCCGTCCTGGACCACTGATGTCTTATTTAACTGGCTTATATTATCGTTTGAAGTACAGCCACCATCCTAGGGTAGTTTATTGGAACAAACAAGACCACATTTTAAAATTATTACTCATGTAAAGCTCATCGTTGATGAAAGGTCTCACAACAATTCTCTTTACTTCAGAATGTAAAAGACAATTTAGAGAAGAAGTTATAAAACCATTTTAGGGTAGGGAGAAAGAGTTACTGGAATACTGGAATGACTAGGAAGAAGGCCACTGCATTTAATAAGACCTCAGGGAGACCACTGTGTGAGGCAGATGAAGATAAGGGGTAAGGCTTTGGGGTCAGACACATCTGAGCTTTAATCTGGCCTCTCCTCTAACAAGCTTTGTGACTTTTAGCTAGTTATTTAATCTCTCTGAGCCTTAACTTTTCATCTGTAAAATGGAGGACTATAATGTCTATTTTGTAGGATTGAAGTAAAGATTAAATAAAAGAATAAAAGGACATACAGGAAGTTTTGAGCACAATGCCTCACATATCGTAAGCACCAAATGGAGGTGGTTTGTTTTGTTTTGCTTTTCATTGAAATGAAGTCCGGCACATATTGTGTGGCATAACTCTGTAATGTATTCAAGAAACAAAAGTAAACACGGATGATGCTATAAACAGCTGCTCGTGGACCTTCTTATAGGCCACACCTGGTATGTAGGCCCCACCCTTGAGAATTGCTGCTTTATTTCAGGCATGGCCTTCCCATGTAGATATCAATCTGCCATTTTCCTGGCAATATCTAGAATGAGCCAAGCTTTTTACATTTTTCCATTTACCAGAGGGTGGTAATAGCCATAGAATTATAACTCTGCCCCTGAATAATCTGTCCCCTAGCCAAACATCTTGCACATACCCCAGGATGGCTTTATAAGGATAGTACAAACTTGGAGTTTCGGTTTAACTCTGTATTTTGAATTTATTGTATATTCACATGCAGTTGTAAGTAATAATTCAGAGAGACCCCCATACCCTTCACCAGCTTACCCCAGTGGCAATATCTACAAACATCTCATTTTAAAGAGAATTTTTGAATAAGTATTCATATTTCTCATCTATGAAAGAGCACAGAAGAATCTCATTTGCTTTAGTATGACTACAAACTAAAAGTCTCTTCCCCCAAAAAACTTACCTGAGCTTCGATTTGGGGGATGAGAAATCTTGAGATACAAAAAGAGAACTTATATGTGCACATGCTTTGTTTTGCCCCAGAATTAAAACTAAGATCTCTACAAGGATGTTTTCAAACTTGAAATGTTTAATTGTAAAATTCTTATTTTATGTCTCATTGCTCAAGTGCTTAGATTACTCAGGGGGTTAGAATTATCCACTTTTCCAGTAATAACTGTGACAGTTAAGACATCATACCTCTTGCCTCTAACAGACGTAGCTCCTATATGAGGACCTGTTTAGGGAGGAAAGCCCTGTAAAGCATGTGGTACAGATACCTGTGGCTGAGAATAAAAGCAGAAAAGCCAAATGCAGTCAGTTGATGTACATTTCCTTAGAAACAGCTATGGCAGAGGCTTTCCATTATGAAACGCACTGGGGTAGTGCCATAGGGTCATTCTGACTCTGCTTTCAACTCAGAGGTCTTTGGAGCTCACTTAATGGTGTTTCTGGGGCTGATTATGTACAGGAAGCAGCTGTGTACAGTGTCTGATATGATCATCTGTTCTATGGATAGGATGGTGGTTTATTTTATTTATTGTGTGAAATATTCTGATTTTACTGTTAATTTTTAAAGTAGGAAATGTCTCTCAATTTCCAGCTTCATCATCGTCCTCCCTGCCCCTTTTCCCTGACTTCTTGAGTTTCTGAGCATCCCATCCTCAGCCTCTTTTCTCACCACCTTCCCATCTTTTCTTACTGTTCTCATGGATTCTCCCATCTCACTCTTCTTCCCTTTCTCTTCCTCTCAGTTCTTCAAAAATAAATAAAATAAAAAAGAGGGATAACAAACAGAAAAATAATTTACTAAAACATTTGTCTGGTTAAAAACCTTGCAATCATATGTTTATTTTAATTTCTTTTATCATCCTCCAAAATGCATACCTATGAGAGCTGTACTTCTGTTTGCCTGCTGGGCATTTGTAGGTATTCAGTAGGAATGAAGCATGGTCCATTTATAAACAAACATCTGTTTGTCTTTATTTCTGGGTTTGATTGTGCCATTTGGATGAGTAGTTAAATGTATGTTAGTAATTACCACTTTAAATATTTTAAACTAGGTACAAAAAGAGAAGGTAGAAATGATGATTACATAAATCAGTGTTTGGAATGCTGCCATAGCATAAGGCTTGAAGAGTTAATGATGGGGGAGAAAGACTCTTTGAACCTCTATATCATCCCTGTACAAGGATGAACCTGACAATGGCTCACATGAGCCACCAGAAGAGACAGCTGAGTGGACAAATAGAATATAAGTTACCATGAGGTCAGCCCGAATTGAAGGAACCAAGGCATAGGGGTGCTGTCAGTGAAAAAGAAAACCAAATGACAGGTCATGGAAGGCTTCAGACTTTACTACCAAAAAAGCAGCTAAGCAGAGTGGCAGTAGGAGGAGGTGAGAAGGAGGAAGAGAAAGTATGTGTGTGTAGTGGGTATCCGGAGATAAAGAAAATAGAAGTGGGGTTGTGACAGTGCATCACATGGAGCTTACCTTTTCCTGATGGCCTGGGGCTAGTTTCTGAAAGGGCAGACTCCTCCCACTAAACAAGCCATATGTTTTAATTCAATATCAAATGTATCTGTAAAATCATTTGATGAACTCTGCCAATCCTATGGATATGACACTATGCTAGGGGAATATATTCATTGTCAGTTCGGCATGGCATGGGAGTCTCTGTTATCATTTGCTGGAAGGAAACACGATGTAAGTAGGGGGAAATGCAATCTTACAAATATAGCTGCGGTTTGATAACAATTGTATTTGGGGCTGCTTGCTTTTCAATGTGATGAAATAGGCCCAGTAGGATTCTTCTAATACTCTGGTTTTGCCTTTGCAATATTTGTATGTGTCTCTGAGCAATATTATTTTTCTCAATTAAGGTATATGCTTGTAGCACTTTCAGAATGTGCTGGATGTACTTTTAAAGATGCAAGATTCTCTGTTTTATTCTCAGGGGAATTTCTGTGTACTATTACCCTGGGGGTAGAATTCCTTAACATAAAACAATAATAATAGCAGCGAAAACCCTAAATACTCCAAGTGTGCTGCTCACACTTAAGCAGAGACGCAGCATAAGGTGTACACGTGTACAATGAGATTAAAAAAAGAAAAAACTAATTCTGTGTGGTAGTTTGTGGGGCATTGAAAAGAGGTCAAGAAATAGATGGTAAAAAAGATATGGAAAGGAGTAATAACCATCTCCTGTTTCTTCTTTCACAGTTCTGTTTTGAACCCAAAGTGGATGATGACATCAGAGCTGAACCACTGAACAAAGGCTGTGAAAAATTCCCATCTTCTAATTGACCATCAGTTGAGATAAGATGGAAGACTCTTACAAGGATAGGACTTCACTGATGAAGGGTGCCAAGGACATTGCCAGAGAGGTGAAGAAGCAAACAGTAAAGAAGGTGAATCAAGCTGTGGACCGAGCCCAGGATGAATACACCCAGAGGTCCTACAGTCGGTTCCAAGATGAGGAAGACGATGATGACTACTACCCGGCTGGAGAAACCTATGATGGGGAGGCCAACGATGATGAAGGCTCAAGTGAAGCCACTGAGGGGCATGATGAAGATGATGAGATCTATGAGGGGGAGTATCAGGGCATCCCCAGTATGAACCAAGCCAAGGACAGCATCGTGTCAGTGGGGCAGCCCAAGGGAGATGAGTACAAGGACCGGCGGGAGCTGGAATCCGAAAGGAGAGCTGACGAGGAAGAGCTAGCCCAGCAGTATGAGCTGATAATCCAAGAATGTGGTCATGGTCGTTTTCAGTGGGCCCTTTTCTTCGTCCTGGGCATGGCTCTTATGGCAGATGGTGTAGAGGTGTTTGTCGTTGGCTTCGTGTTACCCAGTGCTGAGACAGACCTCTGCATCCCAAATTCAGGATCTGGATGGCTAGGTGAGTGTGTGGTGTCATTGAGACCAACTCTGAAACTGGCTTATTTGTTAAGCACAATTAGCAACATAGAGAATAAATACTTTTCATCTAGAGCATTGCATTTTTTTCTAACAAATTTTTTATTACAAAAAAATTTAAGCATATGAAAGAATCAAAATATTTGTACAGTGAACACCTGTGTATACCTACTACCTAGATTCTCTAGTTAATATTTACTATATTTTCTTAATCATCTATCCATTCAATTTATTTTTATGCATTTCAAAGTAAGTTAGAGTGTGTTTTAACTTGTATTTTTATCATTGTTGCATTGGTTTCTCCTTTATTAAGTTCTGAAGCTATTCCCTTGGAAGTTAATAATGCTGTTATATTCAACACAGCATTATTTCTAAATACAGAGATTAGTTCTATGAAACTCTGACAAATATGATTTCAAATTTTATGTGAATACAGTAGTTTCAATATTTTAGGACCCTGATAACTTTAATTTTTTTCTATTATCTATGTGTATGTTTGCTTAGATTTTCAATCAGCCTTATTCATACAATTTTCTATAGTTGATTTTTTAATCTTTTTCAAGGTGTGTAACTTTGTGCCCAAACTAGAAAAACTTTATTTCTTTACATGTTTTAAATCATATAAATATTTAAATTATGTGTGTTAAAAATAATATGACCTCTCTATAAAATATCTATACAGAAGATTTGATTTTTGTTTTGAAGTTACGATGCACTCAGGTTCATATTTTTACAAAGCTGTAGTTAGCCCTCTGAGTTTGTGCAAGGGAAAATAAGTAGGCAAGAAGCATGCATGCAGTGAAATATCCCCCCAGCAGTTTAAGGATCCACTGCAAACACTTGGTATAGAAAATTTCCAAACTGCTCTTGCAAATCCTGCCTCAGAAAACATGCTTATGTGTCTATTAAATCTATGTGTTTCAGAGTCTATGAAAGAAAGTAAAAATACTTAGTATCTATGTTTCCATGGGACTTCCTTAAACTAAAGCTTCAAAAACAAAAGTATACAATTCTTTTTGTGGAAATCTAGTAACTTTGTTAAGTAGTGTTACTATCATTGATGCTGAGAAATTTTCTGGGTGATTAAAATTAAATGCCATATCCTAACTTGCTCTATGACAACATAGGAGAGACAATCATGGGTGAGAAAGCGAAATACATCCTTTTATTCCTTTAATGCTCGTTTCTTTTATATGAGCCACTCCTAGTATTTGTTTCTTTATGCTTAGCTAAAAGAAATGGATCCATGAAAGTAGATTGTGTAGGTTGAAGGGGTGGGAGTCAGGAGCATATTTTGCATATTTTGCTGGTACACTCATTTGTGTGTTCCACTCAAACGCAGATATCACCATGCTTCAGAGAAGGGTCCTTGGTCATTCATCAAATTGACCATCTCAGCAGATCGGTTTTGCATCTAGCTCTGTATTTCACTTTTGTTTTTTTCTTTTGGTGAGCAAGTATATCCAACTGTAAGCCTAGACATCAAAATATGTATTGAGATTTTGCTAAAGGAATATATCAGCAGAATGTATAAAGAAGATAGATCCTTAGAAATATATCCTCACGAATATTTAATAATTGCCAGCTTACATTTAGAATAAAAAATAAAAATATTTTAATGTTATGATCCTACCATTTAAACTGGGAACACTACAGAAAAATCTAAGCCCAACTTGCCTGTGTGCCTTTATCTTCTTGGTGCTGTGTGAAGGCACAGTATGACATATGGTTATCTTATCAAACTACCCTCTAAACCCAGAAACCCTGGTGATGTTACCCATCCCCAGGTGGCATTTAGAAGTGTAGATAATGCTGCAGCACAATTGGAGCCCAGATATTCTCATCTGTCCATAAATGCTGCCTGCTTTAGTGAATGAAAAATGTGTCCCCAGGAGTGTATAGTTTCACTCAATGTTGTGAGTCCCCAACAGGAGCATTTTAATGGTTTCATAACTGTGCCTTCCAGACTCACATTTCAATTATTTTGCCATTGTAATTTCATTCATAATTGCATTCTTACAGAGTCTTTTTAGACAAGCATTGAAATTGTTTTGCCATTTTCATTTCATCAAATAATAGCTTTGTAATATAATTACCACACTAAGTCATAGCAATAGGATCAAAATATAAGAAAGCAGGATGCATGACCCATGTTTGGTGGCATTTTGAGAATATAGATTTGCAAAATACTTTCTCATTTGCTACTAAGCATTGTGTCATTTTCCTCAAGGAAGACCAGGAACAAAAATATGGCCTAATTTATGTTTTAATTATTTGGGAGATTGAGCCCCTCTTTGTGTTTGCTAAAAGATTGACTTAAAGGTAGCTAAGGGCATACAGTGTGTGCGTGTGTCTCTGTGTATGGTCTGTGTGTATATATAACACTGTTAATTGGGCCAGAAGAAGTTAGAGTAAATATTTAATAATCTAATAATCTGCTCTTTGGAAGAACAAGGGCAGTCACTTTAAGATAATCTGTTTTCTATTGCTAATGTGTATTTATTAAAAACTTATTGCGTGTAAGGCACAGTATTTTCACAAGAATAATAGGACAAAAAAAGAGAGAGAGACAAGGTTTCTCTATCCAAGGAAATTACAGTCTAATATGGAGAAATCACAAATGGGTAGATTGCCAGTGTAGATACCCAGTATCAGTAGCCGTAAGACAAGTGTAAATAAAGAGACTTCGAGCAGGGAGAACATGTTACAGGGTAAGGTCCTGTCTAAAGCGGTGGAGAGAAGGAATGGATTTCAGAGCTGCTCCAGAGGTAGAGTCAGCAAAGATTTGCTCACTGATCAGTTTGGAGTGGGGAGGAGGGGACAATTAATGAAATAATGGCAGTTCATTCAATTAAGTCAGGCAGAGTATAGATTTTAGCAGGAGAGAGAAAGATGAAAATGTTTGGTTTGAGACCCTCTCATTCTGAGGTCCTTGGGGACAATCGTAGAGGAATGCCAATGGGCTAGTCCCCACATGAGCTGAAATGCCCAGAGATTTGGAAGCCATCTTGTTTAAGACAACACTGCCAATGACCTTAACCAGGGAGAGAATGGTTTCCTGATGAATACTATTTATGGAGCTGGGGTGGAAGAGGAATCATTAGGAGGCAAAGGAACAGCCAGAGAAAGAGGAGCAGTCAGAATAAAGGGAGGTCTGGAAGTTGCTGGAAGTAGGAAGAGATGTATAGCTTTCAGGTGCCGCAGTCTCGAAGTAGAGGCTAAAACCCCTCAGCCTCTCAATCTCTTAGACCTGGCAATTAAGAGTTGTTGGCTGCTGCAAACAGCTCTTAAGATGAACACAGTAAGCACAGTAAACACAATGAGCCAGACTAGGAAGGTTTTAAGCCTTTGTATTAAGTGAAGTGAAAATGTGTCCTCCGGATTCCCAGCCCCTGGTCACCAGGCAGGGTTTTCCAGGACATCAGGCATTCTTCCCTCCCATTTGCTGTGGCTAGAGTGGATGCTGTGGAAGTGAGCCCTCTCAGGCCACAGCTGACTTAGCTTTTTGTCCAGTGGTTGTTGAGGGGGTAGGGTTGGTTCTAAGATTACCCATAGGCAGGAAGGATGTGCAACCATTTTCAGCTCAGCCCTACTCTGACTCTAGCCCATTAGAGCAGAACAAACAGCGTGCTGGCGCCTCTTCCCTTGCATCAGAGGGGTTGGCCTCCCACTCACTGGCTTATTTCCTTCTAAGACCCACCCAGTGAAGCAGAAAAATTAATAATTATTGGTTCAACTGCTTTATTGCTGAGGGTTATAAAGATGAGTGATATTTAGGAACTAAAATATTATCACAGCCAGGTGTTGACGAATATAAAATAGATGAAAGGCATCATATACTAACCCAAAATGTACTTTAATAACTAAACCTGAACTAATTAATAGTGAAGCATCCTGTCTTTCTTTTATCCTTTTCAGAGCAAATATCAACTGCTACCCCTAACTCCCATATGTGTTGGTAGTTTTCAGGACAGGAGTTTTAGTAGCATAAGCAAGACAGGGCCAAATTGCTTTGGGAAGAATCGTGAATGTTGTTGAGAAAAGTGGAGGTAGCAGGAACGTTTCATTTGCTGAGCATTAATCGAGTACCAGCTCTGAGGCAGGCACCCAACAAGGTAATTAAGAAGATATTCTGATTAGTGTGTTGTGATCTTTTCATTCAGGAACTTTTTGTTTTGCAATGTGACAAATACACTTGTGATAAATGTTAGTGCTTTATGTGGTTTTTTTTTTTTCTATGACAGAGGTACTGAATAAAATGCTGTAGGATTGCCAAAGAGGGAATGACTAAGTTTGCCTTTGGGAACCGATGAAAACCCATCTAGGAACTGACATTTAAACAGGGTTTTGAACCATGGTGCATGTATACCTGTGTAACAAACCTGCGTGTTCTGCACATGTATCTCAGAGCTTAAAATTTAAAAATAAATAAATAAATAGTATAAACAGGGTTTTGAGAACTAAGAATTTACCAGGCAGATAAGAGGAAGAATGGCACTTCAGGAAGATGTTATAATTGCCCAGTAGCCTGGGCTTGGTAGGCAATTATGTGAACTTACGTGTGGCAAAGGTAGAAGTGTTGGAGCTGACAAGTCACGCTGTGGATATACTGTGAAAGACCTTAATGCCAAGACAGGGGTTGGATTTTATCATTAAATCATTAGACCTGTGTTTTAGAAAGCTGCCTCTGGCAGCAGTATGGAGAGAGAATTAGATGGGAGAGAGACTTAAAATGTCAAATGAGCATGGACTTTAAGCCACTTATTTGTGTGACCATTTGCAAGTAATTTAAATTTCTCTGTGCCTCAGTTTTCATATCTGCACATTGGCAATAAGAATACCCAATTAGATTGGGAGGATTAAATGTGATAATGTATTTATAGCTCTTAGCAAAGCATTGACTGTATAGAAAATGCTAATGAATGATAGCTGCTATAATAATTAATAGAATTGTGAATATCAGGAGGCCCAGGTAAAACATGA